CTCAGATGAGGGCACAGCTGCAGCCCATACCTTGATTCACCTGTGGGACCCTGAGCAGAAGACTCAGCTCAACCAGACCTGGATGCCTGACCCTTGGAAATCATGAGATAATATATTTGTGTTGTTTTAAGGTAGTAAGGTCATAGCAACCTGTTCCACAGCACAGATAATAAATACACGTGGGTAAGCCTTCCAGTAACATATCTTAACGTAAAGTATCAAAATCATTTTTCTGAAACAGTATTGCCTTGGTTTGAAGTATGAATATCAGACAAAAGTCTGACTAAACACTACACAGACACTGCAGTCAGCTTCATTTTTTTTCACCACCATTTTTCTGGTCTTAGTAGACAGCCACAGGCAGATGTGTGTGTGTGTGTGTGTGTGTGTGTGTGTATGCACGCACATGTGCACGCACACACATTCAGGTACATATGTGGTACACCATGGTAGGCAGATCCTTCTGAGACCCCCACAACTCTTCAGTGGTCTCTCCGTGCAGTGCAGATGCTATGTTCCTGGAGGAGCATGTCACGTTCACAGTTGTCATCTCACCAAGCAATGTACACATGTCCCCTTTCTCTTCCTATGTCCACAAGACGCTGGTATTTTTAGCCTTTCCTCTTAATAGAGCAGGAGTTTTCAAACATTCTTTAAATGTTTCATTGATCCTTTAACCTAAACATCATGTAGAAACCCAGCACATAACACAAATGGGAGTGGGGTGGCTCTTGAGGCAGGGATCAGAAAGAGAAGATCCCACTGGGCCTCTTGCTTACCACTGGGTACCACCCAAGAACACTTGGGTTATATAAGAACCTACTTTGAGAACCACTGCAGCAGAAGGAGTTTGGAAAGCCACTTGGTAGAATCTCTTCTGGGACATCTTGGCTGTTGTGTTGCTGGCATACCTGCTACTGCACAGGGCACACTGTCATAGGCTGTAGAGCCCCGAATCCTACGCAGTGTTGATTGGCAGTACTTCCCAGTGTCTACTGAGGGACAGCGCTGCTGGTGGCTATGCAAATACAACATGCAATCTACCCCCTTTCAGGTGGACCGAGGCGTGGCAGCATCATCACCCCAGCACACGTGCGCAGGCACACACTATCCATGTCTTCAAAAATATGTACAGCTTCAGGTACGGTTGGTCAGAGGATTTGGAAGTATCCAAATGTCAGCTTATTTGTTTGGATCCCCTTAGCTCTACTTTCAGCTCTCCTCCCAGTGAGATTGTTAATTGACGGTGGGCAGGGAGCAGAGATTACATAGGACACCTGCTGCTGGCCCTCTCCATGTGCTTTCAGGGTTATGTGCATTAGTGATGTGTTCAGTAAATATTTGAACTTAACTATCTCTATTTACACATATGCGAAGCTTACTCTTGTGTAAAGGGATCAAGGCTGAAAGTAGCTTTTGCCTGCAGAGTGAAAATAGCAATTGGAAGATTAATAGATTGCACTTTGTTTGTGTTCTCTTTTCTTACGGCTTTGCTCAGATTATAGTATTGGCAAATAAAATGGCATTAGGATTTCACAACTGTTTTAGAAGTCAGAATTAGCTGTTCTTGTGCTCAAAAACAGAAAGCCAGATCACCAAGTCATCCTTGTGTTTCTGCAGCAATAATAGGGGTACAAGTTCTCACTGACTGAGCAGTCCTGGAAAGAGAATGTGGACTGTGAGCAGTTGTCACAGACCCCAAAAATATGTCCATGCACCTGAGATTATGTTTATGGATAAAACACCATATCCATGGCCTTGAGACTCTGACCACAGACATGAGAATGTGTCCATGCACCTGAGACTATAGTTACGGATAAAAGACTGTGTCTGTGGCCTTGAGATTATGACTGCAGACAGGAGAACATGTCCATGGACATGTGAATATGTCTGTGAGCCCAAGAATCTTTAGATAGAGGCTGGGAATCTACTTAAAGCACAGACTTATTCTCTAAATAAACATTTCTATTGCAAGTAAATTTTTGCCTTTATGAGTGGTTAAGTTTCTTTTTTTAGTGTGACCAGTGACCTAACAACACAATTTAAGCCTCCAGGCTCCTTAGACTAGGAAGACTGGTGCAGGACGTGTGTCTGGCAGAGACCAACTGAATCGGGTGCTCACTGTTAATGTATTCATCTTGCTTTGCTTGCAAGAACATTGATAAACACTAAAACTTCAACCTGTGCCTAAACTAGTGTCTCATTGAGAAAGAACTGAATAAATGTTGGAAATTATGATTTTACTGGAAATCTATCTGTATTTTACGCGATTTAATTGAAATTGCAAGTGTAATCCAAACTTCAAAATTACGAATCTTTCTCATTGACATATAAATAGGATCTGTAGTCTATTCGACTAGGTATTTGTTCTCTGACAATTGGCCTTTGTTCCTTCTTCCAATCAGACAAATATAATTATATTTAATTCTGTAAACTGATGAAATGTCTAATTATATCAGGTGTTGAGTCTACGAAAAAGTGGTTGGCACAATTCTTCATCATTTCTAAACTATAGAATTTTACATGTGAATCGGGGAGATAAACTCATATTATGCTAGTTTTTCCTCTTCTTCTGCCCAATCTCCACTCCACCTTTTTGTTCCCCCCAGAGACAGAGTCTTTCCCTGTCACCCAGGCTGGAGTACAGTGGTATGATCTCAGCTCACTGCAGCCTCTGCCTCCTGGGTTCAAGTGATTCTCCTGCTTCAGCCTCCTGAGTAGCTGGGATTAGAGGTGGCCACCACCACACCTGGCTCATTTTGCATTTTTAGTAGAGACTGTTTCACCATGTTGGCCAGACTGGTCTCAAACTTCTGGCCTCAAGTGATCCACCACTCCACTTTTTGAAAACGCAGACTTATCCTAAAGAAATATTGACACTCCGTTCTGCATAGTCCCTGTCCTGTACCACCAGCAAAGTGGGATCCATGGTGTCCCCCTTGGGGTAACTGGGGCTCCCAAGGCAGAGTTTTTCACAGTCAATCCCAGCTCTATATACTATCAGCACTGGAGACAAAAGCAAAGCATAATTGATAGACAAAGTAGACCTTGAGCTTTGGGGTCAAGTTTTGAGAGAGAACTCTACGATTCTTAAAACTAGAAGACAAATTTAAAATTGATGTAAACTTGTGAGTTAATAAGGATCTGCCAAGTGCCTTCCCTTTTTACTGGAATTCTGTACATTCTTCTAAGAATGCAGATGTAAAACATCTTGTGGCTGATCAGTTTGCTCTTTAAATAATTATTCCAGTGACATTTGCATTATTGCCTAGCAACGTAAAAAAGAATATTTCATCCCTGCTCTGAAGGGGTAGAGGGCAAATAATCAAATATTGAGCATCAGGAAGCAACCCACTCTGTGGCAAGCAGGTGTTTTCAGGTATCACTTTAGTCCTCATACATTGGTTCTGTGCAGTCTGATTGCTACAGCAGGTTGTTCATGAGGACAATCCAGTTCAGAGAAGCGTAGCTGAGGTGCCCAAAGTCCCACAGGCAGCAGGTGACAGAGCCAGCACTGGCACAGCTCTTTGTCTATTACATTTAAAAAAGTTAAATTATGGCTGTCTTCACTCAGGACTTAGCTTTCTAGATATCTCTATTGATGTGTGACTTCCTAATGGCATTACATTTGAATCATAGATTTCCCTAAATAATCCAATTTCTTAGAGCAGAACTGACTGACTCCTGCACATTCCCCAGAAGAACTACCTGTGCATTTTAGAAAAAACTAAAGCAAATGAGGATTAGTTTGGGTGTAGACATTATAATATGAGAAGGGCTGCAGAGGCAGCAAAAGCACCAGGTGAGGGTGGATGCCTGGGGCTGCTCGGGGAGCAAGGCCTGGCTTGTCAAGGTGACAGCAGAGAGTGAGGTGGAAGATGGCAGGCTCAGAACAGCAGGGAGTCGTGGTCGGGGCAGAAAGGCTGAAGAGAAGAGCCCATTGTGGCCTCTGAGCAGGTCTTCCTTGCTTCTATCAGAACAGATATGGGATGGAATAGTAGCATTTTTGATTCTCTAGCAGCGGGAGAGATGGCACAGACCTCAAACCTGCCCATACATGGGAGGCGATCAGCAATCGCTAGCAGCTCTACTATCCCTATACTGTCTGGGGAACAGAGTCCTGGCAAGGAGACAAAAGTTACAGAGCCAATCCAGCACAGCATTTAGGTCTACCAATGTCTCATCTCAACATATACTTCTGTGCTGGAATATTTTGGGAAGGTTCTACATGAGTGTCAATTTCACATCAGTTGTTCCTTCCTTTATTAAGGTGGAGGCTACTTTTCTCATGACCCCTGTAGTATTCATCGGAACTCATTTGTTCCTTAAACAGGCATGGATAAGGCCCCTCAGAGTTTCCCTTAAAATAATGCAGAATCTTTGTTGTATGGTTTTTGTAGATTTGGGTAATAGCCACACCACCAAATAGAAACTTTAAGGAACAGCAAGAATTATTGTTGTAGAACAAAATAATTTAGTAATTTAAATTTTTACTAAATCACCATGAATTCTTGTAAGAATTTAAAAAAATCGACATGAAGTTCTCAAATTAAGGACTTATTCTAAAGTGATTCAGCTGGCAAAGAATAATAGAACTTTAGCCTGTACATAATTTTCAAGAAGTGGAAGGACAGATTTAATCAGAGCTTACGCTAATAGCTGAAGAGCCACTAAAATTATTCTAACAAGATACAAAACAGGTATGGCAATTATTACAGCTCCGGGATAAAACGAATTTCTATTTACAATAATACTTGGCCAAAAAATAAAACAAAAAAAGAAAGAAGAAAAAATATAGAGGAAGAAGAAGCAATGGATTAGATACATCAAGCAAAGGCAAGAGAGAAAATTAACGCTCTGAATTGCACTGGGATATTTTGGGAGGATAGCAAAGGTTTTCCCTGAGAATAGCCTGATGAACTGTAGGCTAAGGCAAGTGAGCTGTCCCTGACCCAGCCCTTCCAGCAATTGCTGGGACCCACCGTCCACCCGTTTCTCACCATCCTCTTTGGTCCGGGTGAAGATCTGCTCACTCCTGACCCCATCTCCTGCACGGGTGAAGGCCAACACCTGGATGCTGTAGTTGGTGTACTTTTCCAGCCCGTCCAGCTCCAGGGAAGGCTGTGTGGTGGTGATGTTTTTAATCTCACCCAGCTCTGGAGGACAAGGGAAAGAAAACAAAATTCCACTACTGAGCCCATTTCTGCGTGTTTTTCCGCGCCATCCCCACGACTGTCCCTGTGCCATGCCATCACCCAGCTATCATCTGGACGCTGGAATTCCTCAAAGGGACTATGCACAGTCATCCTTTGAGCTCATGGTGCCATGTGGCCCTTCAGAAAGGATCATTCACACCAAACTACTCCAGAACACGAGGCACAACATTAGTCTGGAAAACAAAGCAATTCGCTCCAAGTTAAGGGTTACCAACCCAAGGCCAGCACCAGGGCTGCCACTCAGCCTTCAGCAGGTGCTGATGAGCAATGTCCCCTGCACCCCACAGCAGCACCCTTAGGACCACACACAGGCACCACACCACACACTCTACAGCTCCACTGCTAACTATTTGCTAGGAAGCTTCTGCAGGCTGAGGGGTTTTATTTTTATTTTAAACAAACTCTACTTTAACATACATGTATTTTTAAGCACCTAACTTCATCTCAAATATCTGATCTACCCTCTTTAGCAAGTTTCAAGTTTATAAGACAGTAATTTTAACTATGGTCACCACTTTGTACATTAGATCTCCAGAACCTATTCATCTTGCATAACTGAAACTTCGTATCATTTGGGGGTAGGGGAAGAAAATGGCAACTATGTGGGAAGGTGGACATGCTGTGAATTAGATTGATTGTGGCGAGCATTTCACATTAGATACAAATGTCCAAATAAGCTGCATGCCTGAAATATATACAATTTTTATTTGTCGATTATACCTTAATAAAGCTGAAAAGACAACATATTTAAATTGAAAAAAAAAAATACACCTGAGCTAAACTGAGTGGCTCAGCAAATCCCTCTTTTTACCTGGAGTGAACTCCTTGCAGCTTCAATCCTAAAGTGACATGCCCATGTGTCAGAAACTTGGTGTCAGCTAAAAATGCTTCACTTTCAAGAGTGGGATCCACTAATAATATTCACAGGTGGAACACTATGCACTGTCATCTCTGGCATATTATACACGGCAATTTGAGAAAACTTACAAGTGATGTGCTAAGTACTTCCATGGTGTTCGGCTGATGGCTTTTGAAATGAGTCACCTTCAGAGCGTGAGAAGGGCCTGAGAACTGTTCCCCTTGGGGAAGGGGCTGTCAGTGGCCCGTCGGTACCCAGAGCAGGCCGGTTACCCCAAGAGACCAGCAGGTCCGGGAGTTCCTTGTTGAACAGATCTGCTTTGGCTACATTTGGAGAGCAATCCCAGCTGCTTGTCAGTCCCTCTCACCGTCCCTTGCCTCCGTACAGGGAGTGGACGTGGCGTGGATGCCCGCCTTCATGCCTGCACTATGCTATCCTAAGTACAGATAGTAACTTATGCAACCAGCAGTGTCATTCAATGACTTTTGCAGCCCATTCATTTTACAGACAAGGAATTCAAGGGACAGAGAGGTTCAAGGAGCTCAGCACAGCGGCTGAGGACATGGGCTGCGGATCTGAGCTGCTCTCCTCGGTCGCTCTGGGAAAACGCAGAAAGTGGGCTGAAAATGGAGGCACCCACGAGCTGTCGGGTTGGTCGCAGTAAACGGGCTTTTGCTTTTCACCTGCCTGGTTTTTCCTTCCTGTTTGTGGTTTTTATTTTCTCTTGTGTGTCCTCGATATTGCACAGAATTCACAAATGCGTAGCCACATATTTTGTGATTATGATGACTGTGGAATGCCTTTTGTTCAATTTAATTTTTTTTGTTACCCAAAGGATCAATGTGGAATGGATACAGCATTAAAGAAGAATGGCAAATACAGCATGGGATGGCTGAGCCTGTCCTTCACATGCCAGAGAGCCCCTGTGCCTTCTGGGAGTTGCAAGAAGAGGGGTAAAGAGGCTCCATGTGGTACTCACAGTCCAGGACCCAGTGGGAGCCGAAGGCCTGGGGCCACCAGAAGCAGACAGTTCTGTAGGCTGGGGCTTTGCTGAGGAGGGAGCAGGGTGAGAAGGATGGCCCGAAGACATGCCTTTGGACTCCTGTCTTCTAAAAAGGCCAGCAGGGTGCCAGCTGTTAGAGGTTACGATTTGGAAATCTCAACAGAGGGCTTACAAGAATAAGAAAAATGTCTGCTCATGTGTGTGGTCACCGTGCAGTCAAAATATCAATATTTGGTTGCTCCAGATGGATTGGAAATTCTCATCTCTGAAGGAATGGTCTTTCCACATTCAATTATTTTCCTTTTCCTGAATATATTTAATATAAGTCTTTTAGATTTGGATAAAAAACCCAAATGTAACCAGACATGGTGGCCCATGCCTGTGGTCCCAGCTACTTGGGAGGATTGCGGGTGCCCAGGAGCTGGAGGCTGCAGTGAGCCCTGATTGCGCCACTGCACTCTAGCCTCAATGACAGAGCCAAACCCTGTCTTTAAACAAATTAACTAAAAGTCCAAATGTTAATGGACAAACTTTAAATATAGAACTCATTAAGATCTTTGCAGATTTAGAAACTTCACTGTGTCAAATACACACACACACACACCCCTACACATATATATGAACAAAATTAATAATAAGACAGCTGAGGAGAGGGGCTGGTCAGGGCAGGGTGCTGGGAACTGGGTATGAGACTCTGATGAAGGTCTGTTTTTCCCAAGAGCACAGGGTGTCTGCCTCACAGAGAAAGTAGGATCGTGTCACAGTGTGGGAGAAAGTAGCCCTCCAGCCATGCTACTCTTGAATCAGACAGAATGAGGAGGAGGAGCCTGGTGAAGAGGGAGAAGGGCAACCTGGCCTCTGATCTTAAAAGAACAAACACTTAAAAATGATTAAAAATGCTAATGGTTACTATGCTGATTAGAATTAACATTTGGATGTTTACTCATTTGGAAGTTCAAGTCATTTTGATTAACTAATTTATCAGGAATCATGAACACGATGGCAGTCAAAACCCCAATTCCAAATTGTTCCCAAAGATTTCTAAAACTACCTGAGCCAGAGTTGATTCTTTCTGCCAGAACATTTATATGTAAACACTGATGGAAGGGTATTTTCAGATACTGGGTGACTGGCAGATAAGGAAGAAATAAAAAGAAAAGGATGAAAATAAAAGAAAGCCAGACACAAAACTGAGTGTTTAGTTTGCCATTCCTTTTAGCTCTTTTTCTTTTTAAACATGAATTTCTATAGTCCAACTTTCATGCCCCTATAGGGCTGTTTAACTCACACACACACACACACACAC